ATTTTCGATTTTCATATCTTGTGGGAATAGCTATTATATATTGCATTAAAAATTTTTTTGTTCATTAATAATAAATTGAAAATCAATAAACTAAAGTAAATCAATATATATAGAATGAATTTTGGACAAACGCACCTAATCCTGAAAAGGATCGTGATACGATTAAGAATTTACATGAAGAAGGCATACTGAACATATCATCACAAACCTTGACTACTAAAACATTTTGGGACTGCTTTCGCGATAGTTATAATGCGAATTTTAAAGGAACGGACGGTAAAATGCGTATATTATCAATAATTGCAGAAAGGTTCACATATCAAGAAATAATGAATGAATTAGAAGTAAGGAAGCTTAATTATTGTCTAAATATAAAATACAATAATACTAATCAAACATAACTTAGGTTTCTCCCAATACTATTAATACGGCACAAAAATTTTCTCGTATCAATAGGCCTGGATGTGTTGTATTAGAAAAACCTAAAATTATTTGTTCAAAAATGTCAGAGGTCAAAGAAAGAAAATTTGAGTTATTTTTTAATAATAAGGATAATGTAATCATGAGTTCATATAAATTCGATGAAAGAGCACAATTACCTGTTCTTTATTTGAAAGATCAAAAAAAGAACTTTGGGAAAAGTTTTTAGCTATTTATCCTGATAGAATGAAGCACACTTCATTTATGACACATCTACAAAATAGTCGATTTCAGTATCGAGAGGATTTGGGTGGTTTATGCATAACATGTAATGATTATAGATACCAACCTTTCGAAATTTTAATCGATATAATTAATAAAAATGTTTCTAATAAAATATTGCAGGTTAGTTAATTAGGCTGTACAAACTTAATATATTGGTCATCATAACTTGGTCAGGAACAAAAGTTTAAGAAATTTTTTCTTATATATAAAACCTGGGTTGCTAGACCATTTTTTAAAGTTTTACGTTATGAAAACCAAACTATTAATTTTGCATGGCTTTATAAATAAAGCTTACTGATTTTCTATTCGAATAATATTCAAATTAATATCAATTCGAATATTTGCCAAATGCGAATATTATTCGAATACGAATATGAATACATAGGTTCCAATTATAAAAAAATCTAGAATCTTATTAATATGAAATTCTTTGTAGGATCACTTGGTTCATAAAATAGAATTATTACGCCTTCACCTAAAACGATATTATGAAAATGAATTAGATGTAAATGAGAATGGTACTGCTAATCACACAAACTATATCAATCATTGTTTATTATTTGCCTTTGGCGAATGTAAATATCAATATTTTTTACGGTATCAAGAATGTGATAGATTTTTTAACCTATTCGAAGATCTTTTAAAAAAAATTGATAAAACCCACCATGATAAACTCTTAGAATGCCAACAGCAATTGACATGTTATCTGGCACATCAAACCCGTAAAAAATACCTAAATGCTCAGTTTAATTCTGTATTATGTGAGTTAGATGATCATAGTGCTATTATTGTTGTTGATTATAAGATGCGAATTTTACCTGCAACAGCACGTGAAACAAAGAGCCAATTTTTTGAAAAGCGAGGATGGACACTTCATACAACCTTGGTATTTCAAAAAGATAAAAATAATGATAATAATTTAGATATTCAGGCCTATGATTATTAGAGTTCTGATACCAAACAAGACGCCTGGTTCACAGCATCATGTTTCGAGGCAGTGTTCATGACAATCGATCCCAAACTACATTGGATTAAAATAATTTCAGATAATGGAGGGCACTATCACAATTCAGAACTAATGGCAATTATTAGCCATTGGAATTGTTGGTATAATGTAGAAGCACGTGGGTGGATTTTTCTTGAGCCAGGAGAAGCAAAAACCACCGTCGATTCTCATCACGCAACAGCAAGTAGATTATATTTTACAGTTATCATGTAGAATGTAAAAATATGCACAAATATGTTCGATAATAGCAAATTATTGCAAATTGTGTAGAGCTGCAGACATTAGAGTATCAATGAACATAAGACATGACGTAAGTAGTGACGTATTGACATCACACCCAAATTTTATATGACGTAAGCGATATAAAGATGACGTACTACCTTTGACCTTCTAAATGTCTGCAACACTAAAATTGTGCCGCGTAGCAACACAATATAAGCTAAATACCTGCCATTATTCAACATCCCTGTATATATTTTTACGCTATATGCAATAATGATATTGTGAAGCTGTCAATGACAACTATGCTATTCTTTCATTTGTATAGTTTATGTCATCAGTTTAAACTTCTTTTTTTTTTAAAAAAGATTGTCATTAAAATTTGAACTATAAAAAATATATCTATATGGTAATTATTTTTGAACCCGG